ATTTCATAAGTTCAATGGAATATTTCATCAAAAATCACAACAAAAATTTGAAACTTAAAAAAATATATAAATTTATCCCAGAACGTTCTGAAATAGTATGGCACAGGAATCAATGACTTGCTTTATGGTGATTAGACAACCTGCACAGAGACAGAATGAGTGGAGACTGTTGGGAATCCCAGGGACAGAGCCACAGACAAACAGGAATCACACGCCCTACAATGCAAGAGTGAAATGGTGATGCTGTGAGACACTGAGCAGCCACGTGGAAGAAAGGCGTGCAGGGATGTTCCGGCCACATTCCTCCTTACACAGTAAAATTAAAACTCTTAAAGGACTAATGTATCAAACTGAATGAGGCATCAGAAAAAAAGGTGGCTTAATGCTTTTAAAATCTGCGGTGAAGAAGTTAGACATGAAATCCAAATACTGCAAAGCCTAGTGATGATGTTTCAACAGCAAAAACCTGCACAAAGCCACACAAGCAGTTGCCAGCGGCTGGCCCTCGGGGTCCCTCCACCATCGCCCTGTGAGGTCTTCACCACGACTTCAGTGTCTGCAGTAGAGCCTGACTGCTTCAGTCTGACAGGAGGCTTTCTCTCCCTGTAGATTCTAGTTGCTACGGTGGTCAGAATAGTTAGTCTGTGGAACATTCCTAACCAAATCCGATGGCATGGCTTCTGACTGAGAGCTCTGGACACTGGGAGCTCTGGAATTTGATCCATCTCCTCTCCTAAGGGCCACTGAAAGTCAGGTTTTGCACAGTAGCCTGGACGGTGAAAGCTGACCAAGTGGCAGTGGATTAGCCACGGTGAGAGAGCTGAGATTCAGGATGGCCTTGTTACAATGAAAGATGGGGGGCCGGAAGAAAAGAAACAGGACTTCGACATGTTTAGTCATTGTGTTAAGTGCACTCAGAACCACCTTTGCACTTTCTGCCTCTAAATCTCCCTTTCTGACTTGCTTCTTGTTATTTAGAAAACAAAGTTCCAACTGCTATGCACAGTAGTTAAACTCAGACAAACTTGGGGGGGGGGAGCATGTGCAGCAAACAGGCTGGAAGCACCACAGGAAGAATGACAAGCAAGTCAGCATGGGAGAGAAAAGAGCCCCACAAACACAGGGCCACGCACCATGGCCAGCCACGGAGACAGGCTCAGTGCACGGGAATCAAAGGATGCACATTACATGAGATCGAGCGAGCGTGTTCAGGGTGGTATGGCCACAGACAGGACGTACATTAGAACAAAAAAGATAATGTATTTATTTTTTATTTAAAAGGTTGGCAAGAATGAAATTTATTATTTGTGCTGAGGACAGAGGAATAGAGTCAGATCCTGTAGAGGACATAAAGTATGATTAAAAAACTCTACTAGCATATATAACTTTAAACCAGCCAACCAACCAACCAACTAAATGTTACCTATAAAATACCTACGACATATACAACTAGCATCTGTAATATCTCATAGGAGTCACATGCTGGGCATATTCTGAATATTCATCAGCTCAGAGACGGTGAAATAAGGGTGTGGTCCATCCAGGAGACAAGGGTGCTACGGGCTTCCATTGTGAATAGATTTTAGATGCATCAGTGAGAAAATAAAACTGTAACACAATGTATTATTATCATATAATTTTCTTTTGGTTAGAACATTCTAATCATTTGAAAGAATTTCATCATACTGTTAATAGTCATATATAGGAGGCAAGTTTAGTGAAGGAAGCCTCAGTCTTGTCAGACACAGACAGAACCCCCCGACCTAAAGATGGAAACCACACCTTACTACATTCATATTAGGAACTAAACTGTCACTTGCTTTTGTCTCCTGACTTCATCTGTTTCCAACCTGCTCTTTGCTGGTGGGATAAAGTGGGACAGCACATGTTTACCGAGAATTTTTAAATCATAATGAAATGAACTCAAAGGCTGGTTTGCTTGTCAGTTATCTACCACATAGTGGCAGTTCTAAACAGTGCTAGTGGCAGGCTCTCCTGAGGGTGCAGCACTGTCCTCAGAGCCCTCTCCTTGGTTCTTAGCTAGTTCCAATCCTGTGACTCCTGGGCCATATGTGTACTGTTTACTGGGCTGGATATGCATAGGCTTCAAGTAGGAGTGGTGTTCCTCCCTTTGCAGAATTCATGGTCTCACAGGCAAAGCCAGCATGACGGCAAGCCTTTAATTTAATCCCTGCACTCAGGAGACAGAGATAGGAGGATCACTGTGAGTCTGAAGCCAGCTTAGTTTGCACAGCAATTCCAAGCCAGCCAGGACTACACACAGTATGATCCTGTCTCAAAAGCTGGGCCCTGTGCTTATCTTCTCACCTGGTTGCTATTCTGCTGCCCTGCTCCCAAGGCCTTCCTGTTTCTAAGAGGCATTGATGGTGTGGTCTTATTTTGTCTCCCATGTATCTCCACACCTGCCCTCAGTGTCCAGACCCGTGTAGCCTTCCATTCTGCCCCTTAGAATCGCACCTGAAAAACCTCAGAGTTGTCATGGGCGCCCTTCCAGTACCTACAGAAGTGGCTTCCCAGCAGGCTCGCTAGGGAAGGGGGTCACTGGGGAGGCAGGGCCTTCCTCCATCAGCTTAAAAAATAAACACCCCATAGAAGAGAAAGGAAGAGAGAGCTCTCCACCCAGCTTTACCTGAGCCTGGCAACAGACAGGGGTGTGTGAGGGAGAACAAGAGGGAGGCACAGTTAATTAGCCTTCCAAGCAGAGGTGAGCGCTGGAGATGGCGAGACCCATTTACAGGAGGGAATAGACCCATCATTGAGACTAGAGAAAGGGAGGATTGTTCCAGGCCAGGAAAGCGTCTCAATGTTCGGATTCCATTCCCTTTCTGGAGCTCTGGAGGGAGAAAGGTCATGACTTGGGCTGGGAAGGTACACTTAGCAGACTGGGAGGGGGGTTGCTATCTTAGGTCCTGTTCTGGGCCTGCAACCTGTCCCACCCCAAGGGAATGGGCTTCATTCCTCCCTGGAAGCTGGTACGGGCTGTCAAAGGCAGGGGTGCGCTGGGAGAGGCCCCCATTACCATCACAAGGGCTGTCAGACCCCACAATGCGGTGGGGCCCCAAATGCAGGGTAACCCTAACCCTGCAGTGATTGAAACAGATAGAGGGGGAGCTCTCCCACACAATGGCGGTCCTGGCCCCTCTCCTCCTCCTCCTTGCACTTCCTCAAGCGCCTTTGTCTTCTGGTCCCTTGGGCTTGGAGGCTCTCTCTCTCCCCACAAATGCTGCCCATTAACCTCAGAATGAGGCCGCTAGGGGAAGGCCTGGCCTTTTCTCTCCTTGCCTTATCTCCCAGAAGTCCTTCTGGTTCTCCCCTGACTGCTGAGCAAAAAAGATGCCCAGCTGTGAAAAAACACCCTTGGGTTTGAATCAGTCAGTCCCACAGGAGCTGCTGGTCCTTCCTGGGTTGGTCATTTGCAGCCGGTGCTCAGAGATGGTAGAAGTTTCCCGGGGGTGAGCAGCCCTGGGAGAGCCCAATGGCCACACCTGGCCCTTTGTCGTCTCCCTATGCCCAAAGTGCAGAGTCCTCTGGACCCTTCGTATACACCCCGGTCTGACTGGTGAAACAAAGCTTTTCTGGTCTTTTGGGGTGACCTGGGTTTCTACTGAGGTTCCTGAAAAGTGTGGACACCAGTCTTCAAAATATGCCAGTACTTGGGGTGACGAGGAGAGAAAGCGATGGCTCAGAACCTCCCCTGTTCACTCACATGGACATCTCTAAAGGGATACGGTTATCATTTGTAGTATTGTAGACATGCCTCTTTCTTACTCGTTGAGAAAAGCCACAAAGCTGCTTCCTGAAAGAAGGAAGGAGGGGTGGATGAAAGCCCATGAGCACACAGAAATATGCATACACCACATCCACACCACATTTCACGAACTTAACTCTGGACCTCTGGGTCTCAACTACATGCTACCAGGGGGAGATACACATTTTGGCACCAACGTGAAAGCAGAGGGGGCTCCAGGCAGGACTGAGGGCACGCTTCCTGTGAAGGCTGGCTTTACTTAGAGCCAGGCAACTGGTGGTCCTGGGTCCTGCACAGTGCATGAGGTGCGGATTTCCTACCAGCCCTGCGTTGGGCTTGAAGAGGAAGCCAGGAGACAAGGCAGCTATGGACAGACGTGAGATGCTCAGCGGACAGGCATGCTGTACCCTGGAGGGGGGAGGACAAAGCCCACAGCCATGCGCAGCTGCACCAGGCCAGGCACTGCAGCCCTCACAGCCCTCACAGTTTACGACGTCCCTGTAAAATCAGGACCTGGCACTCCGTGTGACTAGCGAGCTAGCAAATGAACTGTTCAAGGCGATCCAGCTAGTAGGCCACACTGAAGGAACTGAAGCCCAGGTGTTCTGGCAGCAAACCTGGTCCTGTCACATGGACAGTGCCACTTACCATGGCTGTATGGTCCTTCAGTGCCTCCCAGCACGTAACAGCGTAGGGGCAACTTCAAGCTTTAGCGTGGTCTATACCTCAAGCACTCCTGAGCTGTCCTACAGTTAAATCACAAAGCCACACTAATGGGTACCTTTCAATCCCTTCTCTACAGTGCCTGCTGTTCAGCTCCTTCTCTGCCAGGCTAGCTTTGCTCTGGATAATGTGTATCACTCCTGCCTGGCTGGAGTCTGTCCCCACAGAGTGGGTAAAAGCCCACCCCAGTATCCCACATAAGCTAGGCCCTTCAATGTATCTCTCTTGGTGGCTGTGCCAGCGCCAGCCATACATCTTGTCTTTTTTTTCCCCCCCCTAGAGCTGAGGACCGAACCCAGGCACTCTACCACTGAGCTAAATCCCCAACCCCCAGCCATACATCTTAACAACACCTGATGTTACAACATGGCCTCTCCACACCAGGTTCTTGCTAGCTCACCTCCTTAGTCAGCTCAGTGGGGCCATTGGTCACAAACACAGGCACACTGTGCAAAAGGGATGAGAACAAAAACATCACAAGACAACATGGCGGCTTTTGGAACAGGTATGTAGGCTCTCATTTAATAGCAGTTAAGAGGACTGTGTACAAGGGAATGGTATACTCATGCTTTTTCCACAGAGGAACCCCCTTTATGCAGCTAGCTGGAGCAGAGCTGCTTTCCTGGTGAGCATGAGAGAAAAAGGTCCCTTTCAGAGGTACAGCTGGATCTCACTGCATTTCTCCCACAAATGTGGAACTGTGCAAAACGAAAAAGCTATTTCCAACACATCAGGAAGAAGTGACTAAAATGCAGCCGAATGAGAGAGGCGGGATGAAGGGGCAGAGGGAGGAGGGCACATCAAATGCATTCTGAGGGAGGCTTGTCGAAGCCGCCCCAAGCCTGCGCTCAGAGGTCTAAAGTGGGAAACCCCTGGCCAGTGCCACCCCTGGGCCTGGGGCCTGCTGTGGAGCTAGATGGACTGTTGGGCCTGGTGCACGACAGCGTCACTGGGGGAGATACTCCTTTTGCTAACAGGGACTCTGGGGTCTTGTGTGCAGCTCCTACTCTTCTCTACCTATACCAGTGTTAGCTGGTACTGAGCCCCCCCCCCCCCCGAATGGTGAAAATAAGTGAGCCATTGCCGAAGCAAGGCTCACAAGCCAGACTGTCTGAAGGATATGGATCTGGCTGGAAGGGTGCAGACCTCCATGCAGCAGGGTCTCACCCCACCTGAGACACCTGATCCACCCCACGTGGTCCGCAGGCGTCTGAGGTAAGATCACAGCGTCTGAGGCCTAAGGGCACACATACTTGCTCAAGTCCTCAGGGCCAGCTCAGCTTTATGCCTATGGAATGAAAAAAAGAAAAGGAAAGGAAAAAAGTTCCCCCTTCACCAATCCATAACCTCCTTGACATTGTAGGTTCCTGGCTACCACAGCTCAGAAGTAGCATGCTGCCTTTTGTTAGGAAACAGTACAGGCCGATGCAGAGGCAGGAAGAGAAAAGCCAGGTGGCCATTCTCACACACCCTGAGACTGGATGAAATTTCCCTTCAGCAGGACTCTGGTGTGTAAGGTACAGTGGCCTTGTTCCTCCACCTGCTCTTCATTCCATCTGTGTCAGTTTCTTCGGGACAGAAGTAGACAGTAGACAAACAGCAAGATGTAGTGATTATAAGTGTCCTAAAAAGACAAATGCTGTGACAGCCCACTGATGATCTCAGGGCTGACAAGCACTGGTGAAGGGCCTTCCCTTCCTTCTCAGTCAGCAGGACTTCAGGTTAGTGGAATCATTTCTTACCCTTTTCAATAAACCCAGGGCTCAGAGAGACCGCCTTGTCTCCCTTCCCATAGGCCCCTGCCTGCCTGGGGCTAATCAAGTTTAGGGTGTTCCTGTGTGACTCCTAAACCTTTGGGCCACTGTGTAGCCAGAGGACAAGACTTGCAGGTTTGTGAAGAGCACCTGGGTGGCTTGTTCTCTCTAGTTCTAGGAAGCTGGACCTCTGTATGGTGTTCTCTTCCTGTTGGTGTTCAAGATGGCTACTGCGAGAGTGGAGTGTGTTCAAATGGGGTAGACTGTGGTAAGCTAGGAGATATGGAAGCACTGCTGTCCCAGAAGCACACAGTAGCTGACAAAGGCAATGAGAGATTGATTGACCAGTCACTCCACTCATCACTGAAGCTGGAAACACTTTTGTGACATCTTGGTCAATGTTCTATGATGTAATTAGCCTCTTACCAGCAGTCAACCTCAGAGCATAAATCCCTTTGGCCAACTTCACAGTTAAGCCTTTGCATGGTTTCAGGGGGCTATCTGGCTGCCCCAGGCTCCAGAGATCAGAGATACGACTCCAGAAAAGCATTTCAGCTGAGGCCAAGGGATGGCTCAGAAGATGGGAGCCCTGGGCTTGAGCAAGACAAGCTTTGTCTCTCTGATGTGACTTAGTTGATGACAGCTGGGCCAGAGGCAACAAGCCATTAGCTACAGCTGACCCTGTCTACCTCATGGTGACAGATCGATGCCGAGAAATATCTGGTCTTATGGTGGCTGTGCCCACAACTGTAGGGCTTGTGACAATTTTTTTCTTTAAAGATGGTAGCCAGAAGGCTGTTGTTAAAACATGACTGCAATCTCAAGAAATCATGAGCTCTCTCTACCCATGGTGAAGGCACCCAGCTATTTTCAGGCTTCAGGGGATCTGATCATTTAGAGATGTTGCTGCTGGAGGCGAGTATGAGATTCTCACTCAGGGACCTTCAAAAGCCACTGCTGACCTATGTTCTGAACCAAGTGTTATGGTCATGAAAGAATGAACAGAGACAAATGGCAATGGAGCTAGGGTCCTGACCCAACTTGGCTTTCAAGATTCAGAAAAACAACCTCCCCAGTGGGCAGCTTACTTTTCAGTACAGGCCCAAGTGTTTACTTAGCTTACTATCCTTTCCAAGCCACAAGGCCTAGTCAGACCTACAGTGATAAAACTGCCACCTACGTGACCAGAATAAAACTGTCATTTTGCCACATGCCATACTGTCTCTCATATTTTTTTCCCCCAAAGCTGAGGACTGAACCCAGGGCCATGTGCTTGCTAGGCAAGTGCTCTACCACTGAGCTAACTCCCCAACCCCATGCCATACTCTCATGAGCCAATTATTCAGCCGATGAGGCAGATGGATATTCTAAAAAGAGGCTGGCTTTGGTTTACTACATAGGAATGTCTCCCAGGCTCTTCTATGCACTTAAATGAGAGCCTGGGAGCAAATTGGATACGTATTAGCATCCTTTTACTTCATTTCAACTCCCAGGCACCCACTGAATTGTGGAGCGCTGGATAATAGGCAGCTTACCATGCTGGCACTGACAGCTTTCCCGGGATAACACAGAAAGTGTGGCAGTAACTTCCTCTAAGCCCTTGTGTTCTTGCTTATTCTTGTGCCTCTCTTACTACAGGGAAATGTTATGTGAATACTGTACAGGGGTTAATAAAAAAATACATATGCTCTCTTTGAGGAAGAATGCACAAATGCAGGGCCAGCCCAGGGGAGATTCTGGACCATTGGCTATGGATAAGTGGCCTCTATGGGCCCAAGGCCAACATTCAGGAGTGGTGGCTGCTGATGAGTCCTCGGAGCTGCTTGGCCACAGTGTCAATCAATTTCTGCTTGTCTCGCTCATTTTTCCGGAACTGTGCAAACATGTTATTCTTGCGGCTAGTGTCTTTCATCCTAAACAGAGAAGGAGAGAAAGAAGGCAAGGTGTTTGAGATAGCACCAACAAAGAATAAGCAGAAAGTAGGATGGATGGCATTTTAACCATTACCCAGAGTGGAAGAGTTAGGACTATTTCTATTTTCCAGCTATCTACTCATTATGGAGCTGTTCTCCAGGCACCTGACTTCAGCTGCCTTTGGTCAAGGGCTAGTTTCAGAAGGTCAGGTCTTTATCTTCATACCTCTCCCACCTGACCCGCCCTTATGTCTTCAGATGAGGACCTTTATGGAAGTCTAAGACAGGTAAGGCTCTGCTGGCTGGCAGACTCCTAAAAATGTCTGGGGTACACTTATTTCACAAGCCTTCTGGGACAGAAGAGATGGGATTTGGAAGGTGAGACAGAAAAATATTGTCTTAAAATTAATTGCAGGAGATCATGAGTCATCCCAGAGCTACTGTGTATCTTTAAGCCCCACTCTAGCTGGTCACTCTTTCTTGCCCCTGAAAAAGTGAAGGGCTGGTCTCTTGATTAGTTTCAAGATTACAGATGAGAAGTAGTACGATGGCCAGGTGGGCACAGAGTTGAGGGAAGCAGGTTCCCAAGGGATGGGCATCCTCTCAGTTAACAAAGCCAGGCTTTATGTGAGAGACAGTCTGAGCATTCAATGGTCCTATACAATCTCAGATCTCTGTTTTGGTCCTGCTAAAGTTCTGCAGGTGACATTCCTGGAGCGGAAATAATGGAGATGGCTGTATCAGGTGGATGGACTTACCAGGGAGGCAGCATTAAAGAAAGAGCAGACTGACAGCCAAGCCACTGTGACAGAGCCTAGGACTATGCTATTTTCTGTAGAGGGCCTGTAATCCACGGCATCCACTGCTGATGATTTCCTCTGGCCTAGCCTCTGCACCCTGACTCCTAGCCCATGGGTGAGGTGGGTCAGCTGGCACTTTTGTTCTTAGAACTGAACTGGCTCACTGACTTCCCTGCTCTTGGGGCTGCATGAAGAAAGGCCAGAAGAGGGTCTAAATTACTCCCATGCATACTTCCCAAAGGTCTTTGGCCAATCCCAGGCTTTCTTTCCTCTTGTGGGCAATCTTTTGAAGAGGGACATAGTTGGAGGCTATGGATTAATAGATAGAGCTCATACAAAGGCACAGTGTGTGCTTATCTGTGTTTACATATCCACTGAATGTATACAGTCCATAAGGGCATCTGAGTGGCAAGAAAGCACAGCCATCTTGCTCTCTGACAATGACAGACAAAGCTAACTGTGACTTTTCTCCCTAGGCTCAGAGTCATTCTTTCAGGCTGGAGTTTTTCATCAGCCTGAGCTCCTGCCCACACGTAGGAAGTCTGCTTTAGGCCAGGAAGGAAGGCAGATGACTTGTCTGGGTTGGAAAAAGGGCACACAGCCTGTAAGACCCTGGTGAGCACAAATTACTGCTTTAAACACTAATTGCACAATCATGCTTGTGGAACTGGCACAGTTTAGATTATTATGAAGGACTCCCCTTCATTTTGCTGGACAAGATATAAATCCAAACAACAGGAAAGAGGTAACAGAGAAGCCCTGTCTACATTTGCAGCACATTTGACTTGACTGATGTTATGATTTCCTGTGGCAGTGCCAAAATGGGTTCCCTGTAGCTCAAGGGGAGGACCCTGCACTCTGTAGGGGAAAGAGAAAAGCCAAGAGGCAAGAAGTTCTTGGCCGTGGAAACCCTTGGTTGGAACCACACTCTCGGGTACTTTGAAGGCTGACAGCGGTATGATGGTTTGTACCAAGGAATGAGCAAATGTAAGGGAGCCCTCCCCTCGTCTATCTCCTGGAAGTCTAGCATTCTCTCTCCCTTAGACAGTCCACCTCTCAGTGATGCAGGGACTTTGCTTTTTCCTGGATAGTACTGGCAGTGACCTGGGTCACTAGGAAGATTTGGAAAGAGAGACTGACAGGTTTGTGTAGCAGCTGCCTTTGAGGAAGAAGAGAGAAGGAATTCCTCTGAGGCTGCAGATGTAGATTTCAGTGACTTGGCGAGCCTTTGCCTTCCAGTGTTGGGGATGAAGATTTCAGATTCACTGACGGCTTAGCACACAGCTCTGTTGCAAGCTAGGCAAGAATGGCGAGATATTACCAGTTGCCATACCTAAGGGTGAGGTAAAGGACCCCAAGAGAAGGGACTGCGCACTGGCTCAAACATTAGGCTTTCTCCCCATTTCTACTGGGTAATGAGAACTCTGTACATGGCTTGCCTCTGATGAGGAATCCTCATGGGAGATATGGGTTCTAGACCCTAAAAGTCATAGGCCCTGTCCCCAGGAGCTCTTCTGTCAGAGATGAACTGCGGACCCTGAGCCAGTAAGAGTACTAAGCATACTAGGAATGGAAGAGATCCTTTCTCTAGTGCTGATGGGAAAAGTCCTTCTATCACTCCCAGGTCCCAAACTGGTAAACCAAAGGTCTATAAAGAACAAGGAAAGGGGAAGTGCTTAGCTAGGTGGCACCGGGTTAGTTTACAAGATTAGTTTGTCAGGGTGGAGAGCGAAAACAGGACCAGGATTTTAGTTTAGTTGCTGGCATCACTGAGGAAACCAGAAAGGACTAGCCTCAAACTTAAGGAAAATTCCCAAGTGAACAATTTATTTATTCTCTAGATAGCCTAGAGAAGAAAGTCATTGGAAAAGAGAACTACCGGAGAAAGTTAACATGAAAGCATCAATTCTTAGCATGTTTCTTGGCTTCAAACTCAGAGCCCATCCCCCTACTCTTGCCTGTTCTCTGCTTCCCCCTTACACCTGGTACATTCTCTAAACCCCCAGGCCCCAATAAGGAGGATACACCTTGATTCCTAATTTTTTTCCCCTAAAGCACTATTCTGACCTTCTAGACTCTAGCCCTTGCCTTTCTAGGGTTGGAGCATGCTTGGCTGTGCATACATGTAGACTGTTACACTGCCTTGGTACAGGTGGTACTGTGACTAGTCAGTCCAACTGTGCTTTACAGAGCTCTTGGGTCCTGGTCTCGGGCTTACCAGTCCTCAAGTAGAACCAGGTTTCCGGGCATACCACTGGCACCTGGGTGACGCATTGGGTAGATTTGAGAGGTTTGGTACTGAGTAACCTACTTCAGGGAACCCCCATCTTGGAGGAGCTCTGCTCAACACATCCCTACACCCCAAGGACTAGGACACGCTCCTATGCTCATGAGGTTGGCCTGAGCCCAAACTAAGTCACTTTACTATCTTCTCTTGTCTTCCTTAGGTAAAGACACTCTGTCTAGTTAGGCTACAAGGTAATACAGGACTGCCAAGTGTAATGATCAAGATGGCAGAAAGCACCCGCAATAGCTCCAAGAGCAAGGATGTTTGTCACAGCACGGGAAACAAGAAAATGGCCTTGTATACCACCTCTTCTACCCCTTCCCACCTCCCACACAGAGAACAGGGTTGAGTACTCACTTCTCAAGCAGGGTCAGAGCTGTCACAGGGTTCACCCGGAGGTACTTGCAGTTGGGCTGTCCATAGTCAGCAAGGTATGTGGACCAATCCCACTGAATGAAGAGGTCTAATAGCTGAAAAATACGCAAATCCCAATGCCAATGGTTAACTAAACAGACAAGAGAAACTAAGACCTCAGAAACCCCATTATTCTTTACTACCAGCTAACTCACAAAATATAGAAATTAACAAGTAATAAAATCAAGAACATCTGCGGGCCACCCTATAACTAAGTAAATGTTAGATGTATAGTACTTTATACCACAGTCACAAGTCCATTGCTGAGACCCCATAACAGCAGTGAGTCTCAAAAGCCAGCCTGTGGAGAAAGTATTCTGGACTGGTCTCAAATGCAGGACCCATAGTAATCACGCACTTATTCATCTGAGAATCCTATCATGAGCCCTCTGCACAACAAACTCTAATGGAGGAACTCAGCAGTCAATAATGAACACATTAGCGGGTGCAGCCCAGGGCCTCCATGCATCTTCAGCCACAGTCAGCACTGCTGCTCCCCGTTTTGTAGACCGGCCAATGTCCTTGGCAGCCTTGCTGCTGTTAACCCACTGTTAACCCAAACTGATCCCAGTTTGGGATCAGGCAGTACATTCAAGTGTCTATTTAGCTGACTTCCATCTGGGCACTTCCATTGCCATTTTCTTACATGATACTGCCATTTTTGAAGACTGTAGTCCCACTGCCTCCACTGTTTCCTCATCTTTGCTTTGTCTGATGCTTTCTTAGATGTATAGTATGTATTTTCAACTGTAATGCCACACAAGCGACACCATGTCCTCCTCTCGGGACCATATCCTGGATGGAGGTTATATGTTTTTCTTCTGCAAAAGTACAACAAAAGTTCTATTGTGTTATTTTTAAAAGTTGACGTTTGTTTGCTTGTTTTGTTTTGCTTTGTGCATGTACACACCAGGCACTGTGTGAAAGTCAGAGGACGGTTTGTGGGATGTGGGCCTCTCCTTCCACCACGAGGGTTCTGTGGCTCGAACTCAGTTTATCCGTCATGGTGGCAAGCACCCTTCCCTTCTGAGCCATCTAGCTAACCCTTGTTCCATTGTTTTTATGCATCAAGTCAGGCAGACCTTGCAGTGCCAAATTTCTCTTTAGAATAACAGACTTCTTGAGGAAGGGGTTGTTTCAGATCATGTAAACCTCGTTCTCCTCAGCCTGGGCCTGTCATTGCTGAACAGACTTTTCCTGTGACAATATTTACTATAGTATCGCCCACAGGATGTCCTATTTGCTGCACTCCTGCCCTCACTATTAATTCCAACTGTTTTGTGAGTAGAAGCACTGCTCCTTCCCATTACTTATCTAATCACATATATCAGCGTGACCTTCTGGGTATTTACTATGGCAGGATATAATCCTTACAGTCATTATCTTGTTGTTTTTTTGCTCCCGCTATTGCTGTAGCGACTCTTCAGAATTGGGCTCTATATTTTTGATCTACCTCTTTTTTATTTTGAATACTTTTCTTCCTTTTAGGTTTTCCAAGTTCATCTTCTATCTTGCACTGACGCAGACCTGAAATCATTTTCTCATCTGAGATGCTTTGGGCTTTCTTAAGTGAGTTGGCATTTAGTAGCCAAGATGTACACAGAGTACACTTGTTTCTGCTGGGGACTGCTCTACCGAAGCCTTTTCAGCGGGCAGGGCTAAGGAAAGGGTGTGTGCACTGTGCATTTCTGTACCCAGGGTGTACACGCAGCAAGGCCACAAGACCACACTGAGGCCTCCAAGTCCAATGTGACACTACGGATTCATTCTAGTCTCTTCCTCTTTTCCTGATTTATCACTTCTTTTTTTGAAGGAGAAGCCTGGTAGTCATTACAGTAGTTGACGTATTCCTTCAGTTCTAGCATAAAGTGTTTTCAGAGTTGCTAACACACACCCCTGTCAGCCAGAGACTTACTGGGTAGCACTGAGCCAACCTCATGTTGGAAAACCTCCTCTTTCTACTATGATGTAAAGATACCACAGAGAACAGAGAGTGCCAGGGGCAAAGGTAAGTACACACAACAATGGGCATGTTGCCAGAAGCCACACCCTGCTTCCAATATGTTTGATTTGTTGACAAGATTTCTACCCACTGCTTACTGTAGAAACTGCTCTGAAAGCAAGAATATCTTTGAGGTAAAAGAAAAACTTGAATGTGTACCTTATATACATCCAAAAGAAGTATTCGTGCTTAACAGGACAGAGTACAAGATCATAATGATAGCATATTTTCTGAGATACCTGTATAATCCCACAAAATTCTAAATATGTGGTGTCTTCTGTAAGTACAGTTTCCTTACATGAGGGAACACAAGCATTACAACACTAGGCAGGAGTCCCCTCCTCTCTGATAGCCTGACAGGAGGAAACCGTCATATTGTCATAGAACATTTTCATAATCTACAACCTGCAGGTACTTTTCAGGAGGGAGCATGGCACAAGAACAAATTGCAGCCTCAGGGTTCCCAACAGAACATGTGGCCCAGACAAAGCTTCTATCAACACTGAGGGCAGGCCAAGAGAAAAAGTATAGAGAAACTGCTGAGCAGCAGACTTGACCATGACCCATCTGTGTTTATTGCCAGGATTTCCCCTGACCCCACGCCCTTAGACATGCAATTCAAAGAACAGCTTTGGCTTGCCTCTTGAATGACCTCAGAAATGTTTCCTGATACAGACATCTGGGCAAATCTCAAAGGAGGAATGAAGAACTTTAACAAACATAGTGCCAACAATGTAGCAGGCACTCCTGGGCACTACACAGGGAAGATGGTGAGATGCCATGTCTAGTTTGGAATTGAGGCTAGTAAATGAACAGATGCAGAGTAAGGGACACTAAGATACTTTAAGAGAGTGGCACAGTTCATAAGAAGGGCTTCTAGCCCAAGCCAGGCAGTTGGGGATTGGCAGGGGTAAGGAAGGTGGTGCCAGGCAAGGAAGTTGACAAGGCTGTCTCTAAAGAGTACTTTGGAAATACTTAAGAGAAAGAAAGCAAGGGACAAAGAGCCTGGATGTGATAAGTTATGGCCACTGAGTTTCAGCTGATAGCCTCTTTGCTTGTTTTTATCAAGAATGCTCCCTGCTATTGTCTAGGGTAGAAGGTGGAAAACTAATCACTACCTGCTTTTTTTAAAAAAACAAAAAAACAAAAAAAAACCCAAAGATTTATTGGAACAGAGCTGTGTTCACTGGCTAACATCTTATCTATGGCTGATTTTATAATTGAGGCCAGTAGCAGCTATGACAAATACTACCACATGCCAGGGAAGCCTAAAGCTGCACTCTTGGACTTTTCAGGGAAGCTTAAATACAGGTCAAGAAGGTGTGTGTGTGTGTGTGTGTGTGTGTGTGTGTGTGTGTGTGTGTGT